GTTTCCCCGGCTGAGGCGGCGAGCGAGGCCGGGGAGGGGGAAGGGGGAAGGGCGGCGCTGCGCCCTGCGCGGCCGCCTGGCCGCCGAGCGGCGCGCGGCGCGGCAGCAGGCCCGGCCGCGTTGCACCGTAGAATAAAATTCAGGAGGAAAAAAGATGCATAAAGTTATGTTCTGGTTTTTATACCTTGTGCAGTCAACCGAGGACTCAATCGTTGCATTTTTATAAAGCAGTCTTGCCGTGCCATAAAGCAGGTTGTCACTTCCCTCTCGTGTTATAATACCGTGTTTGGTTTTTTTGGTTTTTGCTTTTGAACATGTATCGTAGGCACTCTTAGACAGGTGAAGTTAGGAAGCAAAACTCAGCATTTGTCACCAACTACGTATGAGTTACAGGTGTTGCAAGTTACAGAGAATGTGTTAAGATGTAGGGGCCGTACTTAGGTTTGGCATTTGGCATTGCCCAGGCTTTAGAACAAAATCTGCTCAAGTTCTCATTTTGCCTTCATGTGTTTCTCAATACCTACCCATTTTATATTTTGTGTAGAAAGTGCAATTTTCTTGACACATCATTGCCATATCTTCAATATATATTTGCTCTATTATTGAAATAAATAAAAATTAACAAAGTTTTTTAAATATTTAAAATCCCACCACCATTGGCTCTAATCATCGGGGAAAAATACTTGTTTCTGAATCTCTGTCTACAGCTGTGGGTTTGAAAATCCGTGGGATACGTGCTTTATGCCTCCAGGTGGTAGTCCCACCTCCAAGACGGGGCACTGGGCCCCTGTGCCAGCGCTGCCCGGTGCATGCACTGCATAGTCTTTTTTTCTCCGAGGCCCAGGGGCAAAGGTAAAATACGAACACATTCACGGTGGTCTAAAACAACGTGTATTGTACAACTAGCCTGTTATAGGAGCAACAGGACCTGGAGCAATAAAACCCTCTCTGCCCATGGAAGCAAAGGACCTGGGCACATCTGGTGTTGCTTGAAACAGTTGTTTGCTGCAATGACTGTTCTAGTGACTTTAATTACTTAGTTTGTTTTAATTGTTACTTGTGCTGTAAAATACCTTCCTTCAGCTACAGCAGTTCTGGGAAATTGCTTTGCAGTTCAACAGCAGTGGGTTCATATCTGCCATACTAATTCTGGAGTTTAAATTCAAGCAAATGAAAATGCGCAAGCTGAAACGTTCAGGCAGTCTCCCATGAAGATTTTCCATCGCCTTTGCGAGGTGCCCCCTTTCCTGAAACCCAAGGTTCTCTTCCACACAGACCTGGCCGTGATCCTGTTCCTCATTGTGCGTACCAGTGTATTACTAAAAAGGAAATGCAACATTATTAATACGAAGCTTAACAGTCATACAAAACACAAAGCTGCTTGTTCTTTCATACCTCCTTGTGCATCACATTTTCAACTCTCTAACGTGCGAGGAAATCTATTGCCACACCTCCTCGTCTGTTGTGAGGGCTCGTATTCTGTCCCCCTGCTTTTCCCTTCCTTTGGCCAGCCCTCCAAGCAAGTGTGTCCCCACGCTCCCTGTGACAGTTGTCTTCCTCCTGTCACTGTGACCTCCTCTCCCCCAGGACGTGGGCCCCTTCCTGCTCCTCCACAGCCTGAAATAAAATCGAGCTCTGCTCCTTTTTTTACCACTGCCAAGCAAACGGTTGCTACGACATTTGCAAAGCACCTGTTGCGGCGTGGGTTTTCTGCAAGCGACACGTGTGAGCGGCAGAGTGGGTGTTGGAGCTGAACATGCTGCTGGGAGAAGAAGAAGAGGAGAGGGAGGAAGGGGTTTCAGAGGGGCGCTCACTCTGAAGTGGGCTTCGGGCACGTACCTCACGTCTTCTGTTCAGCACCCGTGAGGCAGCAATGCTCCTATCTCCCTGTCACACCTGAAAGTAGACTGGCAGCACACACCCAGGTCTCACCCCCAGATGGAGCCGGCACATGGCTGGAGCACACACCCGGAGCCACAGCTGGAAGGTGTTCCTGGTTTCAGCAGTTGAACGTGATCATGGCAACCAAGCCAGCCCGGCACATCCGCCTCCAAAACGTTAGGTTCATGCTCTCGGGCGATGGTGGGGCAGGAGGCTCAGCAGGTTTTCTCTGCCCGTGCCCCCTGGGGACAGCCAGGCTCAGCTGCCCTGAGTGCGCTGGCAGCCCTGAAGCCCTTTCATGGCCAAATCACTAGGCCCGATTTACTCTGTAATAAGGGGTTCCTTAACACCTGCCAAATTTTGCAGCACCAGATCAAAACTAACTAGTTTGAAAGACCACGGGGTGGAAGACATTCCAAACAGAGGGAGAATACACAGGAGTATCTCATGCTTTGTCACGTGAGGGTAGTTTTCCATTACCGGGTAAAGTGGAATGAATGACTCCTAAAATACATAAAGGTCTGACATTTTTAATGGGCTTCAGAATGTCTAAATGTGGTATTTCACGAAACTGCTGATCATATACTATTAATATAAAAACAAGACAATGGATGGAAATACTGTGGACTCATAACTGCGCCTTTCTATTAGAAGATTGTTCTCATTTCCCTGCGATTTTCTTAAGCTTTAGCAGTTCGGGCTGAAATTTTCTATGCTAGGTGTCTGACCGAGATTTTTAAGTACCAGCCAAAACAGTTTTTTGTTGTTCCTGAGGCACAGAAAATACATTGCTTTGTCAGTGTTAAAATACGCTTAGATGAGATGAAATTTGTACCCTCCTTCATTTTGCTCTTACAAATCTGTAATTGAATTACATTTATAAATTCTGTTTTGAAAGGACACTAAAGTGGCAATGGCAGGCAGGAAGGTTAGGAAGTAGGAGAATGAAAATTGTCCTACTTCAGTTTTGTTCCTTTCATATACATGCACCGTAATGCAGTCTTTAATTACATGAGCTGTTTTTTCAGTAGAAGGGAAGAATTCAAGTTGAATAGCGGATCAGTTCATTTCCAGAAAAGTAATAGCAAACCTTCTGAGTCCTGTGGCTACCTCCCACAACATCTGTATGACTGACAGCAAAAAGATGCTTCAGTAGAGCTTGAGGATGGAGGACAAGGAGAGCCCTGGGAGATGCTCACCCATGGGAGGCGATACCAACTCCTCTGAGGTCCAAGCAGTCCGCGGTGGGATGTGGCCGGGTATCAGGAAGCAATATGATCCATGAGTATCCCACACAGGCCAGTCTCCGCAGCATCTGCTGCCTCATTTCATCCTTGGACATGTGTTTGGACTATAAGCAGACGTTCTCCCTACAAACATCTAACCTGGTGAGAAATGCTAGCTGGCCCTCCTCCAAAACTTACTGCTTCCATAGCTTTGCTAGCAGAGCTGCTGAAGTAAGCACTTACCAACTCATTGAGGGGAGTAGCTTAAATACTAGGTTTTTGGTAACTAGGCATTTCACTAAAATAACAAGTGAGCATTCATATGTTTAGCTCAGCCAACAGATCTGAGGGTCAGCAGCCTTCAACTGGAGGTAGCGATGAGCAGCAAGCGGTGGGTATCTCTTCCACCAGCACAGCTGGGGCCTGGGGAGAACATCTGTCCACAGAAATTACATTGACTGTTCCAGTTCACTGAGATAGTTTTGTCTGGTGCAAATTAGGGAGCATTCACATGAACTGTCATCAAAACTATGGGGATAGTTAACTGCAGAGCAGCACAGCTGGATGTGAGGGAGAACTTCAGCCTAAGGAACAATGAAACGTTTTTGAACATGCAATGATACGTTAAGTGGTTAGCACTCTAAAGAGAGAGATCCTGGCTAACGATGGGTGCCCAAAATACATGCACCTTTCGCTATTTTGGCCTTACTCTCCCTGATACTGTTTCTCATTGGTGAGACTGAGTTCTGTATTCCTGTTTACAGAACTTCTAAAAGATCCTGCTGCCGCATTTGGGTCAGTATTCAAGTAAGTACCACGGGAAGGCCAAAGAGGAAGTTGGCCATTTACTGCAGAATTTTCCTGGTAAAGGGCAGTGTTCCCTGCTCTCGACGTCCTCCCTGCTTGTCTCTCTGATTTTGCTCGTGGTGGAGAGCCTCTGCTGTAATAATCCAGGGACAGAAAAAATTTCTAGCCTATGAGTGAGAAAAGATTGGGAATGCAACAAGAGTCTTGCCTCCTCAGCCCTGCGGCTTCAGGGTATCCTGTGCTATTTCCTCTGTTCTTTTTCATGGTCTTTTTTGCATGGGAAGGAACAGGTGCTCCGCAACTCTGAATGTCAAACCAACACTGCTCTGCTTCAAGCTGTGAGGTTTTTTTAGCTGGCAGCCAAATAAAGCCTCTTGTAAGCATCTGAACTTCAGGGCAGATAGACAGTATACTCCAGTACATTCAGCACCAAGACTATATTTTCTGGACATATATTCATCTGAAGACTGACAAAGCAAAACAAAACTGATCCATTATGTTGTAGTAAGTTTGCCTTCGGGAGAAAAAAAGGCCTCAAAACGTGGCTGCTGATGTTCCCTATGACTTGCAAGAAAGAATAAAACATGGATGCCTTTAGAGGGTTGGGGGGCAAGATCCATGAAAAAGGATGGCTGCTCTGTATTTCATGTGTCTCATTTCTGAGTGTCCTGCCACGGAGCAAACACACATCACCAAGTCTGACCTCTTTAGTCCCCTCCAGTGAGATTGTTTCCAAGCCAAATGATGTGTCTGAAGATTCTCTCTTACTTCGTGAGCAAGTTCCCAATCAGACTGAGTTCTCAAAGGATTCAGGTTTGGAGAGTTCACTAGTGACCACGACGACATGTGTACTATGTAAAATGAAAGTTAACATGAGCTGAAAATTTGTTCTTACAGGAAAGGAGTCAGAGTGAACTCCTAAGGCAAATTTTCTGTTCTTGTACAATAATTTATATCTGGTTTTCTGCAGCAGACTCTTGAAAGATTATATAGCACAGCATAGCTGAAAGGTACTGTAAACTTCCAGGATGCACATGGAAAAGCTTACGACTCATAATCTTACTACCTCCAATGAAAATGTTAATTTTGATTACTGAAGAAGGAAGGGAGGAGACAAGGAAGCTCCAGCTCCCCACCTTCTTCCCAAGAAGAACCCAAGTCCCTCTTCTCTTTTGTGTCTACGTAAAAGCTTAACACCCGTGAAACAATCACAGTTTTCTTGGCTTGTGACCTGTGGTGTCAGGGTTTCCTTTTGGACAAAATAACCCATCTTCCTGCATTATGGGGCTATTTTTAGGGACAGCGAGTATGAGACATAAGAAAAATAAATCCTCAACCGTGAAAATAACAGAGGAAACAAGCTTTATTTTTATTATTTGAAATTTTTGTGCGTGATAAAGGTACACATTTGACTCTGGTTTTCCTACATTTCCAAGACAGAGTAATTTTTTTTTAATCGTCGGCTAAAGCATCAAGAATACCGTGGCACACAGGAAGCTAAAACTACACACACACACACACAAACACTTTGATGCGCATCTTTCATCCTTGACCTTAAGGAGACAAAGTTTGTATTTAGCTTCACAGGGATTTAAAAAAAAACAAAAGCAACAACAAAAAAACAAGTGAGAAGAATATTTCATTATGAGTGTCAAGAGAGTGCAAGGCTTACATGTACACAAAACGTACGAGATTGACTTACAAAGATGGAATGTACAAAACCTTTTTAAAAAAAAAAAAGAAAAAAGACAGACTCACTCCTAGAACTGGAAAGCTGCAGCGTATCAACTGGTAGAGATTTCTAACGGGGGCTACTGCCATACACTATGCAGCTTAGGGAACATTCCCATGTCATAAAGCCAAAGCAAAAGTGTCAGGGTTAAGGCTGTGTTGCTCACAAACATCAACTGAAGTGCTGTACATTCATCAGAAATAACACAACCCGTTAGGAATCTTCTTACTCCGTAGCACAAATACCTTCCGCGCACTCTCCACAAACAGGCCAAAACAATCACTGCTCACAATTCTTGAAGAAAATTTTCAGTGTACATCTTGATTTCATAACTAGCTGTCACCCACAACCGAAAGTCATTTCTTTATAACAAACACAACATATTGGGCACTTATAGTTCTCATTATGGCAACACTAGATCCTTAGTGATAAAAAATATTGACATAAAATCGAAAGCCCTCTAGCTTTTACAGAACAGAAGAGCATTTACTAATAAATAACTCTCCATCTACATCAGGCAAATGCTCGCCTAAACCATTTTCCTTTTCTTTTTCAGCTACGTTGCTGCTGGTTTAGCCTATGTAAAAATCCCCTACCGTTTATATTGGATTTATCTGAACAGATCCTTTTATTCTATTCACAAAACAATGAAAATACAGTTGGCTAGTTTGTCCTAAAATGCTCCAAATTACACAAGATCTGATAACCTTTTGAGATTACTTTTGAGTTGAAGATTAGTTAAATGAAGCACATACTTTCACCGTTCATGCTGTGCTGCTAGTCAATTAGCATTCCAGGGAAGTCAAGGGAACATTTGGTTATACCTGAAATCTGGCAGCAGAATGCCTATAAAGCCTTTAAGAAATGCTAACAACTCAGCAAATCAAGTAGTGCAATTTTGACGTTCACTTAATTGGATGAGAAGAAAATCTGCCAGTTTTTTAGAACAGAGTTTCTGCTTTGGTTGCTCTTTGTAAGGTTTGTAAGCCAAGCATTTTAGCTAAGTTGGCTTCAGAAGCACAGCGTACAAGCAATGTGTTTCTCGGTTTCCCGGTGCCAGGCAGATGAGGTCAGACCTTGGAAGGGAATGCCCTACGCCACTGAATTTGAAATTGTAGTTGGCCGCATTTGCTATCAGAAGGAATCCCAAATTAGTGACATTTTTCAGGTGCAGTAAGTGCTGATCTGGTGATAATGTCTGAAAACCCAAAAGACTATTCAGTCTTAAGGAAAAATCCACATCACCCCTAATAGCTGTTAGCTGGGTTGTAAGGGGGTTGTGTGCAGAATTCCGTATTTCATCAGGATGCACTGGGTTGACATAGGTTATATAAAATCCTGGTAAACAATACTGAGTCAAAGGGACTGAAAATCTTTTGAAGAAAAGTGTATACATGGAATAGTACAGTCTTAAGTATACGTTTTGATATATAGGTTAGGGTCTGATTTCTGTGCTTCTCAGAGCTCCTGGCAACAGGGGATTTGGCAATGTTTCCTGAGTGGAAACCATGCAAGTTTAGTAGAATATTATTACAAAAACCCAAATTTGGAATTAGATTTTATTAACATTATCCATAACTGACAGCAACAGCACATTTCTCATTTTCTTTTTAAGTTTTTATCTCAAAGAACCTGTGCAACCTCTTCTCTTTGTTAATAAATACAATTAAAATGCTACGTGCCTTTTCTTCATTGATAAATTTGCCATTTAAGGGCATTTCAATGTCAGAAATTGTTTGTTTACCAGAATGTTGCTTATAAGGACACTTAGAAGGAAATTACTTGATAATCAGAAAATTTGATCTACAACTTTGTTAAATTTTGATAGGATAGTTTATTGTGTAATGACTGAGATATCGTCTTCAGAATTTTAGGACAAACTCGGTTCAAGCAGAGGGTATTTTGTTCTCTTGGTAATAACAAACTTGAGTTTTAACATTTCAAGAATGTTACCACCAGTTTCTTAGCTGCATTATATAGTCCAAACCTTAAGCCTTATACACAAAATATTTATTCCAGTGAAATAAGGAAACTTATCTTTGCACGAGAATTTGTAAATTAGCTCTATGTGCAAAAAATAAACAAGGGAAAGAAGAGGAAATATCTTTAAGAAACAGTAACTAAAAAAGACAAAACTCCGCATTTAAGAACCTTGAGGTCTGCATTTTTACAAGTCAAATGCTTCTTTACAAAAAAACCATTAGTTTTTCTCAAATTCATTGAAACAACCACCTTAACCTTAGAAATAAGACTAATACTTATAATGAGTAATTTAACAAAGATTTCTTTCCGTTTTGCAAACATGCTTAAAATAGTCCCTTGTTCCTGACCCAATGCCCTTTTGTTTCAAGGCCCTAAAAATGAGAAAAGAAAGACAGCACTTCCCAGGCTATTGTAGGCGTTGGCAGCAAGCTCACCAGCTCCTCAAACGAGGTTAAGAGCGAGCACCACTCTATCTATATTAGGCTACGGTAGCAATTCATCCTTTGACCACTGGATTTAGAAATAAGAATAAAGCCAATGCTACTTGAAAAAGGACAAATTCACGCTTAAAAAAAAAACATTAAAAACAGAACCAAGTCATATGATTGTAAGCACTTCCAATTAAATTAATACTTCAACAAAGAACACAGTAGAGAGATCCAGCAGGAAGAAGGAGGGACATTTTTCAGAGTACTGCCATTGTCAAATGGCATACCTACGTTCCAGTTTGCTGAAATAACCTACATTTACTTTTTTTAATTTTTGTGTCAATCAGCCATACATACATACAAACAAACAAATCGGAACAAATCTCACAGTCCTTATTTTGTCCTCTAACAAAATTCCCTTTGATGAAGGACTTCAGGAATTGGTTCAAATTCATTCTTATTTGTAATGTATTCTTTCTCATGTAAAAACAAATAGCTTTGGTAACCCTTGGCTTTCCCATACAACCTCTGTTTACCACAGTTCCTTTGGTTGTATAATGTAGGTCCTCCATAGGGGTACCTCTCTGGCTTTCTGTCCTGTGTGATGCTGCGTTTGATTTTATTGGTTAATACAATGAGTTGCCTCAAGGAAACATGGCAATGAACACATACGAAAGAGTGGCACACATGAGGTTAATTGAGTTGACATTGTAATAACCCTGATCCTAATGAACTAGTTTGGTGTCAAAAGGTCTGTCGTTATACAGAAAATCAGCTCTCACTAATGTATCGCTACAATTAAGTTTTTCCAGAGCTTTAGAAATGTCAGGTCTCTGCAAAGTCCTTCCAGCACGTTGAGCAAGAGGAATAGTGAAAAACAAGCACATGAAACAATCCTTCATTAATCCCACATGAGTAGGGAATTTGCATTGATTCTTATAGTGCTAAACATTGAACTGTGTTAGGTCTGACGGTTAGAGCTAGACGGATTTTGTGAGACTTAACCTTATACTAAAAGGACCTACTTGTTATAGATAGTAAGACTGAAGAATGTTAAAAGTGTAATACCTACCATGATAATGAGATCTAGAAGATTCCCAGGATCACCTCTGGGTTAAATAATGCATAACAATGATACTTCTTCAAATTTGGAAGCTCTGAGCAGGAGCTACCCTTCGCAGTCTTCAAAAAGCTTTGGGGACTTTTCCCCAATTTTTCTCATTTTTGCCTAATTAGTTAATTCCAGTTCCATAAGTTGCAGTTTGCGTTTAATATCACATTGTCTTTATGAATTCAGTTAAAGAGGATTTTGTGTATTAACCCTTACAACAAAAAGTTCAGTGAGAAACGTAAGAGGTGCAAGTCCTATGTAAACAAGGTAAGTTTGGAAATTAACACGAGAAGTCCATAAGAGACTCCTTCATTATTAAAAATGAACTCAAAGTAGGAGATATCCTGCATCGGATCTCTAGGACCAGTCTTTTCTTAAGGGTGGACGATTATCCAGCTCCAGAGCTCATTGCTACTGTAAGTATCGATAGACCTTGAAGCAGTGATTTCCAGAGTCTGCAACTACAACATGGCCATCTGAAGTAAGGGCCAGACCTTGGGGACCATAAAGTGGGTCAGCAGAGGTGTTAATGTAGGATAAAAATGATCCACTTCCATCAAAAACCTTTGAGGGTGAGAAAGCACAGAATAAATGTTATGAAAAAAAAAGAAAACTAGCGGACACAAGTCTGCTCTCAATTATACCATTATACTTCTCATTTCTGAAACGGTTGACAAGCACTAGAATAAACAAGGGCAGAATCTGATCTGTTATTCTCATAATATACAAGTTTATATACAAATGTATTTTCTTATTAAAAAGAACTAATTAAAGCTGCCAGGATCTTTGGCAAGAATTAAACATGCAATGAAATAAAAATAAAAAGAGCACCTCGGCTGGTCCTTGTTCTTAAAATAACCCACTACAATAAAACGAACTCAAT